TGTGTGTGTGTGAGAGAGTGTGTGTGTGTGTGTGTGTGTGTGTGTGTGTGTGTGTGTGTGAGACACTGTAAGGACCAAATGTCCCCACGATAAATACAGATAGTAAACATACTAAATATTATATTTTGTATGTAAACAAAAAATAAATAAATAAAAACGTTTGTGTGATGTTTTGGTTTGTGGTTGGAATGGTCCTCAAAAAAAAGTCCTCAAAAAGATATAAAAAACATCCATGTGTTTGTTCAGAGGATCTGGCGGAGGAGCTGGAGGACGTAGATTTCTCTGAGGCTGGGAATGCTGGGAATGCTGGGAATGCGGATGATGACGGATGGGAGGCGGAGGATGAGATGGAGTCTGAGCAGGATGACAGTGAACTCACCTTCTCCAAACACACGGGTGACTCCTCACACCTCAGCATCTGTGAGAAACGCTTCGTCTTTCATTAGCTCTTACTGAACGCTGTTTTTGATTCGCAGGTTCTGTCTTTTGTGTCAGTTTGGACCCAGTGAGCAACAGTCTCGCTGTCACCGGCGGAGAGGACGACAGGGCGTTCGTGTGGAGCGTGTCTGATGGAGACGTGCTGTTTGAATGCACGGGTCTGTAGAAGTCCACAGCGCTTCTCTGTCTGTCAGCATTAGGGTCGGGTGTTGTTTGAATTTTATCGATTCCGATTCTTAGCGATTCCTAGTTTCAAGTCAAACAGTCCTAACATTTAGATGTCAAACATATTTATTCTTTCTTTTTACAAAGCGTTCTGTTGCAGCTGAATAACACGAGCAAAAATCAGCAGCCTGCAGAACACTTAGGCCTACAAGAAGGTTTGCCTACGGTTTTAACAAAAATACCACCGCAAAAATAACTAGACTAATATAAATTTCAAACATTAAGTTGTTAAAGATAAGTAAACAGTCAGTAATAAAATTGGAACAAACAAATCAATAACAATAGCAAGCATAAATAATTACAAATGAGAAAATTTCAGGTGCAGAAATTGAAATCAAAAGTTTAAAAACATTACATAGTTTTCTTTTCATAAATCAAATATAGATGAATCCTCATTAAAGTTACGAAAGATATTCAGTAAAGTTTAGTGAATGGTTTTCTTTTGTTCTTTGATTAAAATGAATGACAGGCAGCAGGTTTATTAGGCTGCTGTCTCTTGAACACCAAACGCCGCGCATCTAAACTGTTACGCATGCGTTTTCAATCCATTTATCTTCACTTAAGATAGAAAAATGTCTGTGTTTACGATAATATACTGACATAATTTTGTGCATACAGTTTGCAAGAAATACCTTTTCTGCAGTGGAAATGCACTGAACGGTTCGAGAACGGACACAAACTGGGAACCAGCACCGGGACCGTGGTTCTCTGTGCTCGCGCTTCAGGTGTGTGCGCGGCACGCTCAAGTTCTGCATGCAAGTTCTTTCCCTTCTTGCGGTTAAATGGTTTAAAATCACATTAAAATGCAAACGCAGGAATCGCTAAGCGGAATCGAAATGCACGTGTCTTATTGAATCTGGTTCTTGGAAATTTGGAACCGGTTCTCGATACCCAACCCTAGTCAGCGTGAGCAGATCGTTCGTTGTTTGTACGCTCTGTGTCCATCAGCACAAACCTGGTTCTCTCTGATTCACGGCAGGTCACAAGGATTCTGTCACATGCGCTGCGTTCAGCTGCGACTCCAAGCTGGTGGTGTCTGCTGATATGAGCGGTCTCATTAAGGTCTGGAAAGTGGAGAACAAGGAGGAAATCTGGTCTTTTGAGGTTGGAGACCTGGAAGTAAGTTAGAAGCCCGTCGCTCTGCTTGCATTGCTGGTGTTTGTGGACAGTATTTGAAGCGTGTCTCGCACTGCAGTGGTTGGAGTGGCACCCCTGCGCTCCGGTCCTGCTGGCCGGCACAGCTGATGGGAACGTCTGGATGTGGAAGATCCCAAGCGGAGAGTGCAAGACCTTTCAAGGGCCCAGTTGCCAGGCAACCAGCGGGAAGATCCTTCCTGACGGTGAGAGCTGAGACTAGCAGAAGACTCTGAGCTACTGACTGTCTGTTGTTCTGTCTTCTAAGTGTCTGTCTGTCTTACAGGAAAGAGAGCAATCGTGGGCTACGAGGATGGAAGTTTACGTCTGTGGGACTTAAAACAAGGCAATGCCGTTTATGTCATCAAAGGTAATTCATCGTCCACGTATCACTGGCTTTCCTCCGAGGGTCACTGGTGCCGTTACAGGCGGGTAGTTCACATGGAAATGAAGGTTCTGGCATCATTTACTCGGCCTCATGTCGCTTTAAACCTGTATAGCACAGAGGGTTAGGGTTTTGTTTTTTTGCTTGCTTTTGTCACGTCACTGGAGTCCAATGTAGTTTTCTGTCCTGTGGACAAAAGCAGTCTTCAAAATAGCATCTTTTGTGTCATACAGGTTTGGAAAAAACTTAAAGCTCTTAACTATCAATTTAGTGTCCAGCCATTTGAGATGTTGTGACCACAGTAGTCACAGTTATGGGTGGACGATTACACCAGTAGACACAATAAACCAGTGGAAATATGTCGACTGGTAGAGATTTTGGCTGATCGTCTCTATCACAGTTATGCTCATGTGATGTTGTAGTGCTGTGCCATCCCAAAAGTTTATCATTTGCATTTATTTTTAAGCCTTGTGGCTTAAAATCACAAGATTTTCAAGTGATTTTAAATCACTCAGGCACAATAAGAATTGAAACAGATCTCAGTTTGGTGCTCACACCCGAAGCAAACCCAAATAAAGCCGCTGGTCACAGTATGTGTGAACTTTGTGTCACATGTTTCAGCACTTTTGAGTGTTTGACTTCTGTAAAAGCTCAGTATGTGAGATAATGACACAATCACATAGGCAGAAAATAAGAAAAAAATGCAATTTGTTAGATTGAGTTATTGGATCTGAATCTATTTGGGTTGTCATCAGAAAAGTTGAGTGTTCATGCTACAGAAGAGATGTTGTTTTCTCAGGTCACGATGGTCATCAGGGAGCGCTGACCTCTATAGCGTGTAATAAAGAGGGAACGCTGGCTCTGACGGGGTCAGTGGATGGTCAGGCTAAACTCTTCAACACATCCACAGGGAAGGTGAGTAGAGTTACGAATGTGCTGATATCAGGTTTGTTTTACTTGTGATACTGTGTTTTTTATTTTTATGTGTTTATGTAATGGAGCAGGTAAGCCTGTGACTGGTGTTTCGGCAGAGTTTCTCTGACAGATGAGGCTGTAGTAGTGCAATAAAAAAGACTTTTTGTTCTCCATTTTTCTTAATGAAGTTCATTTAGTTTATGATACAGTTTAAATGCTTTGTTACCTTTCCCCCAGCACATTAGCAGTTCATCAGAAGTTAAATGTTCACGCAATGACATGCCAAATATGTGTTTATTGTATTATGAGTGGGCCTGAAGCGAGATCTGGGGCCTGTTGCATAAACTTAGTCAGTGACTTAAGTACAAGTTTGACCAGCTAGCAGTTACCCAAAGGGTAATCAGTCTTATTTTTGGATTCAACTTAGACTAATCTACGCTTTTATGTAACTGAATAAAAAAAAAAAAAGACCAGTCTTAAAGAAAAAATTAGCTGACTAACTTTTAAGACTGGTCTTAACCTTTTATGCATCCGGCCCCAGGATGTTTCCAGCAGCGCTGTGACGAGTGTCCAGTTACTAGGGCTGCCACTAACGACTATTTTTATTTCGTCGTAGCGTTTGTGAATTCACAATTATGCTTAATTATGATTTTTAAATGGGTTTAATATATCATGCAGCCTTGGGAAACAGTCTAATAATGTGTTTTATACATTCTCGTCTGTGAAATGCACCACTTCCGGTATTTTGCCGGTTAGTCGACGCGAGCAAAATGAAGTCGAGGATTTTTAAAAATCGAATAGTCGAATAAAATCAACGAATCGCGACAGCCCTACCAGTTACAGTTTAGGGTTAATTTCCAAGCACTGGACATTGATGTGATCTGATGTAGGTCATCACTTGAACACCATCATAGAGCTTCATGTGTGATGCCTGTAATGTGATTTATTTGTTTCTTTTTTTTCTTTAGGTGTTATGCTCATTTTCCAATGAAAACAGTGAAGCAAAAGACTCAATGCAGGAGCAGGATTCCAACTCTGTAGAATCTGTGGGATTTTGTAATGTGTAAGTAAAGCAAATAGTCTTAATAAAATATATATAAAGAATCTATTTATACAAGTAATTTTCATCGAGGCATCAGTATTTAGTTCTGTTTTGATGTGCTCTATCGTTGTCCAAACCACATTTGTAATCCAGTCGTCTTCTGCAACTCTACCTCTGTGTTTTCAAGCTGCTGGTCAGAATACATCCATTAACCTCAATGATTGCACCCAGAACCGTCACAGCCGATTAGTGTTAAGTTTGTTAACGAAAACTATGACGAGACTAAAATGTAGTTAAAAGAACAAAAACTTGACCAAAATTATTTTTGTTGAAAAGTGGAGCCAAAACATTTCAGACTGCTGTACAAGACTCTATTATGCGAGCATTCATGTTTGCGGTTGCCAGATATTTAGAGCTCAAATCCCCCAATCAGAGCTTTTCTGTTAAACAGATACGTACTCTGCCAGGCTTTGTGCAATCTGGCAACCATTCACACGCTCGCTCTCTGAAAACACCGACATACAGTACTGTACGAGTAAGCTGGACTTCAGCGATCTCCGTCTGAATGAAAGTGTCATTCAGCAGTCTGTGCTCTGTCAGGGATCTCGACTGTATTGTTTGTGATAGTGGTTGCGGATTGTAACGTTACTTGCGCAACCTCTGTGCAACAACAAGTCTTTTTGCAGTTGTTTTAAAAGAGAAACATTAATGCAACTTGGAATTATTGGAATTAGGGTTAGGAATTTCTCTGTTTTAATATTTGAGTAGGTTTTTGTTACACCAGTTTTCATGACGTAGACAGTGCGAGTGTATATCTGAAGTCTGGTGTTTATTTAGCCTCTGATTGATATCCTGTGATAAATCTGTACACTAACGTTAGATGAGGTAAAATAAACCATGCATTCGAGTCGATATTCTATTGATTTGTGCTTATTGGTGAAAGACCAACTTCTGATGAAATGTAAAAATAAATTTCCCAAATGACAACATTCATTGCAAATTGAGCAAAATAATATTTTTTTTTCATCATTTTAACCATTACACAGTAAGATAAAAATATGACGAAAAAGTGTAAGTTTCCACTGACTAAAACTAGACTAAAATGGGTGTAGTGCACCTGCAGTGGGAGGAGGCGTCTGCAGTCGTCTACACCTGTAACCTGGCTGGTGTCGTCACTCTGTGGGACGCGAGATCAGGAGTCATGATGTCAGAGTACCGTGGCCACTCGGCTGAGATCCTCGACTTTGTGCTGAACAGGTTAGTCTGTTAAACCGAGAGGCTGTTCAGTTCTGTAGGACTTGCGGTTAATGTTGTCATTGTCTGTATGAAGTACTAAGAATCGCTGAACAGAGTGAACTGTCATATAAAAAGTGCTGTCAAAGTCAAAGCATCAACACGAGATTAAATGTTTTACACTGTTAACTGTTGAACATGGTTAACACATTTACCTAATTAGATGTTAAAATGGTTATTGTTCTTTGTTGTTGTTTTTTAAGACTAGGGATGTCCACAACGACTACTTTCATCAACATTTGATATAAATTATATTTAAATGAAAATGATAAAAACTATATAAATATTTAGAAAATAACAATTCTATTATTCCAGTAGCCAAATCTGATACTGAATGGCACAGAAAATGTTAAATGTGCAACATACGTGCCGTGTTATGGTCATTGTATGTTGGGTTATCCACTAACTAATTTAATGTTTTGTCATTTTGACCACAAAAATAAAACAAGCAAGAAAATTATTTAAATATAGCATGTAAAATTTAATGTTGCAATCTTTAAGTGGTACATAAACCTTTGAGTGTGTGTGTGTGTGAGAGAGAGAGCTTGTGTGACGATTTGAATGTGCTGCTTTGAATACGAAGTAAATGTTGTATAATTAGTTATTACTAAATGTGTAAATAAAATGTTGAAAAGTTCAATGTTAAACAATGTTTAAACAATTACTTGCACGTAAACGCTGTAACATTACAGGAGTCACAACCGGATTTACGTTTGAGAGTGAATCCCTTAAATTGTCTTTGTGTGTGTGGAAAACGCCTCGCTCCTGGAATTGCACTGATGGACGCAGTGGCAGCCATAGCAATGTTTTGGCATCTTGTGCACTTGATATCTGCTATTTTTGACCAAAGTAAAATGACCGCAGCTAAAGATGTTTGGCAGTTTTAACTAAACCTCCATTTGCACATGCACTCGTTTGTTTATGCTTACTTCCAGTATATAGCTTTTGGGCTTATTCTTATTTGCTGTTTTTGCACGAATGAGGCAAGACTCGTAATCGTGACACAACTCTGATGTGTGTTTAAATACGCCATTAACAACTATTTGTTTGCTTCGGCTCTGTATGCAGTGTATATAATAAAAATAGTTTTGGGAGTCAATTCGGTTGTAGGATGCGGTCGTCACTCCTGTAAATGACTGATCGGTGTGTGTTCAGAACAGGATTCAGCACTCAACAGTGAATTGACAACTGAATTTAGCTGCAGTATGTGTGTGGCCGTAGAGTCAGTGTTAGTTATTTTCTAACGGTTTACTTTGATACTGGTTTCTGTGTTGTGATTGGCTGAAACCTGTAAGAAGTGGAGAATCGAACAGCTTTGAAATCTTCCTCCATTAGTATCATATACACCAGATCACTTAAATCTGCTGTTTTGCTTTCATTCTTTAAAAAAGAACTGATTGTGTTAAAGGGAAAGTTCACCCAAACATGTAAAACCTGTCATTATTTGCTCAACCTCATGTCATTTCAAACTTTGAGTCATCATCATAACACAAGTGAAGATATTTTTAATATTTGCTCATAATTTTTGTTCATAAAAGTTTGTCAGGTTTTTGTGCATAAAATTCAAATGAAAGGTTAAACATGGTTTATTGTCCGGATGCGTTCTCTCTCTATCATGGGTAAATATTAATTTGTGCTGTATCTTTTTCATACGTTGTCGTTTTGTGTTCACAGAGAAGCCTCAGTCGCCGTCACCGCCGGAGGAGACCATCAAGCCAAAGTGTTCTGCCTGCAGAGACCCGACCGGTAGAGACCGTCTTCATCTGGATCCCGTTAGACTTACCTAGTTAATACCTCCTCACTGACACAGTCACCTGTAAACTTCAGCTTTTTACAGTTTTCACAGAGCTGTGCTGTTCTGTCTTAGTCGTTCTTGTCATGACTTTGTAAGTCTGACAGACTGATTTCTCTTGTCTTTTGCTTAAGCTACATACAGCTGTACTTGAGACGTCACATAAATTATATGGCCAAGAATATGTGGGTTTTATCTGTTCTAGTAATTTTTTACGAAGACAATGCTTCACCGTACAGTGACATTCTCGAGAAATGTGTGCTTCAAACTTAGTTGCAGTCTGTTGCAGCACCTTTATGCTGAAGTAGAAAACAACCCTCCACAAAATCTGAAGCACACGTTTCTCTAGAATGTCACTGTGTGGAGAAGCTTTGAGATTTGTCTTCATAGAAATGACTGAAATAATTACACCTATTAATCAGAAGGGGATGTCCGCACTCGTTAGGTCATGCAGAGTATATAAAATTCAGTTTCAAAAAGTTTTGGGTAAAAATGCACATTTACTCATAGGTTCAGATTTCTAGACCGTTCAGTTGGATGGTCAGATGAAAGATCTTCCCTGTTGCTGTTGTTATGTGCCTGTTTGCTGGTTAAGGAACAGCTTTTGTCGTTCTTCTCCCACCACTAGCTGTAAACCGTTAGCAGACACAAATTCCCAACTGCCTGTGGACTGTCTTGGCAAAAGTTCAGTGCTGAATGGTTGGCCATACATTCTGTTGTGTTTAATCAATGTCGTGTTGAAACTACATGAGTGCTGTCAACCTTAATTTTACTCCTTTGTAACAAGTTACAAGAATGTTTGAAATGTGATGTGTGAATAAACACACCAGTGATGTTAACCCTGCTGAGAGGTTGAGTATTTGCCACTGAATCCGCTACAGGGGCTCGTACCAATACTTTGCACCTGTCTGCTAACAAGATGTATTTCCGTTGAAGTCAGGGTCGGAAATTAGCGGGGGCTTTGGGACAAAAATGCCACCAAAATAACACATTTAAGACAAAGGGGCAAAAAATGCCCCTGCACAAATAAACTAAATCTGTAACGGCTGATGTGATTAAAGTGAAATGTGAAAATGAAGTGAAAAGTGTTGATTGCAACATTAAATTTAAATATGCTTAGGTTGCATCAGATTTATCTTTAAGCGTTTTTTGCAGCGTTGAGCATTATAACCAATCACACAGTTTCTGTTGAGCTTATAAATGCAATGTTGAATCAAAGGCTTTTAGATAGTTTTGTTCTGTGCGCTTCTTGCTGACTGAATTCTGCATCTCGCCAATTCCCTCATTAAAAAGTATATTTTCTGTGATTATAAGAGGAGTTTTTTAAAGGTCCCATATTGTCAAAACTGAAAAATGAAAGTGTCATTCAGCAGTCTGTGCTCTGTCAGGGATCTCGACTGTATTGTTTGTGATAGTGGTTGCGGATTGTAACGTTACTTGCGCAACCTCTGTGCAACAACAAGTCTTTTTGCAGTTGTTTTAAAAGAGAAACATTAATGCAACTTGGAATTATTGGAATTAGGGTTAGGAATTTCTCTGTTTTAATATTTGAGTAGGTTTTTGTTACACCAGTTTTCATGACGTAGACAGTGCGAGTGTATATCTGAAGTCTGGTGTTTATTTAGCCTCTGATTGATATCCTGTGATAAATCTGTACACTAACGTTAGATGAGGTAAAATAAACCATGCATTCGAGTCGATATTCTATTGATTTGTGCTTATTGGTGAAAGACCAACTTCTGATGAAATGTAAAAATAAATTTCCCAAATGACAACATTCATTGCAAATTGAGCAAAATAATATTTTTTTTTCATCATTTTAACCATTACACAGTAAGATAAAAATATGACGAAAAAGTGTAAGTTTCCACTGACTAAAACTAGACTAAAATGCTCAGACATTTAGTTGACTAAAACTTGACTAAAACTAAAACAGGACAAGTTGACTAAATATGATAAAAACTAAAAGTTACATTTGACACATGACTAAGACTAAATTAAAAATAGCTGAAATGAACACTACAGCCGATGCTGGTCTCCAAGCACAAGGAGCTGTTTTTAAAGTTTTGAATAACATCAGTCCACAAACTGTGCTGCAGCCGGGAATCATCAGTTACACTGTGTTCATTCTGTTCGGCCAGAGGAGAACGTTCCCCGAATCAACATCAACACAGCTCTTTTTAAAAAAATTCCGTATTGTATAAAGCACTATGTAAATAAACATGACTTGACTTGACTTTCAGGTTACCCCTAGTAGCTGTTGCATATCTGGACGGCACCCTGGCCATTTATGATATGAATTCACAGAGCCTCAGGCATCGCTGTAAACATGAGGTAAAAGCTGAGAATCCATTTAAATACGGCACTTTTCTCATTTCATCCATGTGTTGTTGAAGGGCTTGATAAGTCTGTGTGTGTCTGTGTGTGTCTGTCTGTGTGTGTGTGTGTGTGTCTGTATGTGTCTGTATGTGTCTGTATGTGTCTGTATGTGTCTGTGTGTGTGTGTCTGTGTCTGTGTCTGTCTGTGTGTGTGTGTGTGTGTGTGTGTGTGTCTGTATATGTGTGTCTG